TACTCCAATCGGTATAGATACAGAAAAAAATTTAAAACGAAAAGCCTGTTTTTTACATGTTTTGTCATAAGCTGTGAAAACATTATCAAAAGGGGGTAAACCCCCTATAAAAAATGCATTAAATATTTAGGCTGAATTGTTCCTTTTTACCAGCGCCCAATTACTCCCCAAAGGACAATTAAAACCATAACACATACCCATAATACCCAAAATAAGCGAAAAATGCAGCTCTCCCATTCCATAACCCTATCCTTAAATAAGTAATGAGTATCCGCAGTAATCCACGCATCCTTTTGTCCATCTGTTTTCTATAGAGATATTATGTGGTTCTTTAGAGGTTGTATACTAATTGGAATTTTATTTAGTGAATATGGTTTAATAAAAGCAAACAATAAGCTTTGAATGATTCTTTTTGTGTGTTTCCTTTTCCTTTATGACGAATCTACCCTTTATAATTAAAAGAAATAATATGCATTAAAGCCAAACTTTTTTTGTTTAGTTTTGGATACGAGTAGGATCCATTTGTTTGCTGTGTTTGTGCGTAATAGCAACCTCATGAGGTGAGTTTACCCCCTAAAAAAAATAAAAAAAAACAATTTTGGGCTTTAACGTACATTTCAATTTTAAAAGTGTATGAATAGCCCAGACGTTTTCCCCTTTTAGAAACAAGTAGGAGAATGGGGGGACAGTGCACTCTCCTGTTCTGTAGGTACACGACAGTAAACCTTTCCAAAGTGAGTAGGCAAATTCCATGTTAAAAGGTTCTCGACACCACTCATATTAGACAAATGTTTTGTGTTTCGTGACAACACTAAAATATAGTTATTATATTCACACACTTTTTGTCTCAGTAAAAAATGGTTAACCAGAAAAAAATAAAGATGATGTAATCAAATTCAGTGAGGATACACAGAAAAAAATGTTTAAGCCTTTACGGTTTACCTACACTAGTTCACCGGTCACACTACTGTAATTTAAAATTGCATGAATTTGGTGGTGTGATATCTGAAAACTTGTGAAGATTTTTCAACAATTTCTTGCGATTTGCAGTGCTATTTCCACTGTAACTGTATAAGTGAAATTGGCAACAAACTGCAGAAAAAGTAAATGCAAGAAATCATTGCTGCAATTGCACTGTTAAGACACTGACATTTCCACATTCATTAGATGCGATTTCAGGGTGCAATTTAAATTCCCTGAAATCACTCCAGTATGACAGGGCCACTTAAAATAAAAGTGGGAGTAAAGCTCTAACCAGGGCAAGACTGACAACATCATGGGGGCCCCCGGGCAATAGGGATCATGGGGCCCCTGTGTCCCTTGCCCAAACTCAAAAAGCCCTCATGAAAAAGGTACCCCAGGGGGTCATCTCATGGGGCCCCCTACAGACTCCCCCGGGCCGCTCAGGCAGTGCCCGAGTTTCCAAATGTTCAGTCCGCCCCTGCACAGTAGCACCAAAACTCTGATGTGCTCCAGTTTTATATAAAGCTGTCCCCAAGTAATATTTCTATCTCTTTCCTCATTTTTATCCAGTCCACTAACTGATGTGTTAAGTGCTCTTGATGGGGACCCTTATAAAAGGACCCTGAGAAGGACCCAGAGATAAAAGGTGCGAGTCTGATGTAGACTCTGGTAACAGGAGGAACCCTGTTGAAAGGAGAGCTGTAATGTGAACATAAGGAGAACTCTGATTATAAGGGGTTGCTTCTTATGGGACTCTAATGTAAGGGGACTACAACAGTGGATTCTGATGTAAAGGTAATTCTCTGGTGGGGGCCACTGATATAAGGATGGACTCTAATTTAGATTAATGATGTAAGGAGAAACGCAGATTGGGACACTGATGTTAAAAGACTAAGATGGTGGACCTCAGATGTAAGTGGGGACTCTGATGAGAAAGGTGCACAGCTGAATGCATTTTTGATCGACCTTTATTAATGACTCATGTCTATATTGGAATAATTTTTTTTATTTTTTTTTATTTTTTTTGCTTTGTTTTACTGAAGTTATTTTCTCTGTTGTTCAAATAAATATCATGCTAAATTACAAAAAAAGAGCTCCAAGTAAAAGATATTCACTCTTCTACATTTCATTAAATTCAATCAATCTACGAACAGATTTTTTTGGGCCCACAAATATTTATAAGATCTACTTCACACTAGCATTGAAAGCAGGCATTTGAAATGAGTGTTTTTAATGCCTTCCTCAAAGTCCTATGCAATTGATACTTTTTGGGACAGCACACAGTGCTGTTCACATTATCAAAACCCTGAAGCGTTAGCGTCGTGACTGCTAGGTTCATGCTTCAAAATATTGAAGCCTCATGTCAGGTCTGGAGGAGTATGAAACCTTTCAATGCATTTGAAAGTTTGCGGCACAGTCAATACCATTACAGTTTATTAACCACTTGTTCTCCTGAGGATTTACGCCCTTAATGACCAGGCCTTTTTTTGCTGTTTGGCGCTGCACTAATTCAAATGATAATTGCGCGGGGCTCATGCAATGCTGTACCCAAACGAAATTCACGCGTCCTTTTTTTTTCACACAAATAGAGCTTTCTTTTTGGTGGTATTTTGATCACCTGTGCGCTTTTATTTTTTGCGCTATAAACAAAAAACACAAAAATTTGAAAAAAAACTATATTTTCTACTTTCAGCTATAAAAAATATAATAATCGTAAACTCAAAGTTAGTTATAAATTTAAGCCAAAAGTGATATTCTGCTCACATGTTTTTGGTAAAAAAAAATCCCAATAATGTATATTGATGCTTTGAGTGAAAGTTATAGTGTCTACAAACTATGGTATAGATACTGTAATTTATGTATGCCTTTTTTTGCTATACAGCACTGCACTAATTCAAATGATAATTGCGCGGTCATGCAATGCTGTACCAAACGAAATTTACACGTCTTTTTTTCACACAAATAGAGCTTTTTCTTTTGGTGGTATTTTATCACCATGTGTGCTTTTTTTTTTAGTGCTATAAAGCAAAAAAAACACAAACAAATTTGAAAAAAAAAACAATATTTTCTACTTTCAGCTATAAAAAAAATATCGTAAACTCAAAGTTAGTCATAAATTTAAGCCAAAATGTATTCTGCTACATGCTTTTGGTAAAAAAATCCCGGTACATTAGCGGCAAACTGGCACTATATGGGGAGGGGCACTAACACTATCGGAAGTCACCAGTGACACTAATACAGTGGATCAGTAAAAAATCTGTTCCACTGTAATCAATGACACTGGTGACGAGGGCAGTGAAGGGGCTAACTGGGGGGGGGGCGATCAGGGGTAAGTGGGATTACTGGTGTAACTGGCGGGAAAACTGGCACTATCTGGGGAGGGGCGCTAAGACTATCGGGGGAAGTTGCCAGAGACACTGATACAGTGATCAGTAAAAATCGGTTCACTGATCAGTGACACTGGTGACAGGGCAGTGAAGGGGTTAACTGGGGGGGGGAGAGATTAAGGGGTTAAATGGATTACTGGTTGTACTGGCGGGCAATCTGGTGCTATCTGGGAAGGGGCGCTAAACTATCGGAAGTCGCCAGCGACACTGATACAGTGATCAGTAAAAAATCGAGGATTCACTGATCAGTGACACTGGAGACAGGGCAGTGAAGGGGTTAACTGGGGGGGGGGATTAAGGGGTTTAAACGGGATTACTGGTGTAACTGGCGGGCAAACTGGCGCTATCTTGGAGGGGGCGCTAACACTATCGGAAGTCGCCAGCGACACTGATACAGTGATCAGTAAAAATCATCGATTCAACTGATCAGTGACACTGGTGACAGGGCAGTGAAGGGGTTTAACTGGGGGGGGGGCGATCAGGGGTTAAACGGGATTACTGGTGTACTGGTGGGCAATCTGCTGCGCTATCTGGGAATGTGTCCAGGCAGAGAAGAATGACATCATATCCTGTCCTGTGTAAATGTCAACACAGACAGGATATGGACAGGGACCGATCATGCTGATTTCAGCCAGACATCACATGGCTGAAAATCTAATGATTGATCCCTCCGGGATCGAATGGTGTCACCCGCGGGTCGGCGGGAGCGCGCACGCACGCGCCCCTGCTGGCGAAAACGTCGGAGCGCGGAACCCATTTTAAAACATGGTTTTGCGCCCCAGTGCCACCCTGCACACGTATATATACAGTGGCAGGGCGGCAAGCGGTTAAAAGCGTTTGTGGTGCAGTTTTAAAGCTTGTAAAATGCTTATAAAATGCCTCAAAACCACACATAGGGCATTTTGGGAGCGTTTTTAACGCTTATAAAATGCCCATACTAAAGTTCATTAATGCCTGTCTAACGCCCATACTAACGCTATTTGAAGAGTTAGATATGTAGTCAAGGGTGAACAAGCCCTAAAATGTTTGGAGGCCCAGGTCAAGTTTATTGCAGAAGAGACTGTATTACGTATCTGTGTCCCGCTGCATTCTGTGGATGGAGCCTTTGCCTCATCACGTAGAGTGCAGCTCTATAAACCCTGTTTTGTATGTGGTGGGAGCGACCACGGCTTAGAGCCAGGGGAGGATTGACCATTTCCCGAGGGCCCGGGGTCACTAGAGGCTCGGTCCGTCCTCTGGATATGCCACTGCTGGAAGGAACAAAAAAAGGAAGTGTTGCAATGGGGCAGCACAGCGGCAGGCACTTCGGACACCTCTCCTTGGAGTTTCCTCAGAGGGTCGGGTCCCACATCCCTGCCACAGGACGGGCAGCCAGAGAAGAGAGCGGAGTCATCATTGTGCTGACCTGCTCTGTATCCTGCAGCAGGTCAGTGTGTAATCCCCTGACCCCGGTGACACTGACAGCACTTCAGCTTAACCGCCTCCCCCCGCCATATAAGGAAATGACAGGCGGGCGGCGGTTCTCTTGTTCTGGGAGGACATCATATGACGTCCTCCCACTCCAACGATCGGTGGTGCACTGTGTCCCTGTGTCGGAAAAAGCCGAAGGCGTCGGCTTGGTCATGTGATCAGCTGTGACCAATCACAGCTGATCGCATGTAAATAAGGAAATGATGGTTATCGGCATTCCTGTCCTCACCAGCTGTCAATCTGACAGCTGGTGAGGAGAGGAGAGCCGGTAATCGGCATTCCTCAGAGGGGACATCTACACTGATCATCAGGACACATAGCAGTGCCTACCAGTGCACATACATTCCACATATCAGTGCCCATCTGAGCTGCCTGTCATTGCTAGTCAGTGTCGCCTATGAGTGCTGCCAATCAGTGCCGCCTATCAGTGCCCGTCAGTGCCACCTAACAGTGCCAGTCAGTGCTACCTATCAGTGCCGCCCATATATGAGTACTGCCTTTCAGTGCCCATCAGTGATGTCTGTCAACGCCCATCAGTGCCACCTACCAGTGTATCCTCATCAGTGCCCATCAGCGCCACCTATCAATGCCCATCAGTGCTGCCTTATCAGTGCCCATCACTGCAGCCTCATTAGCGCACATCAGTGAAGGAGAAATATTACCCATTTACAAACTTTTATAACAGAAACTAAGAAAAAAAACTTTTTTTTTTTTCAAAATTTTCTGTTGTTTTTTTGGTTAGTTTAGCAAAAAATAAAAACCCTGAGGGGATTAAATACCACCAAAAAAAGCTCTATCTGTCTCAAAAAAATGATAAAAATTTCATACGGGGACAGTGTTGCATGATCGCGCAATTGTCATTCAAAGTGTGACAGCGCTGAAAGCTGAAAATTGGCCTGGGCAGGAAGGGGGTATAAGTGCCCGGTAGGCAAGGGATTAATAGTAGTCTTCTATTCTATATTCCCTATATAAAACAGTGATCTTTGTACACTGAATGGCACCCAGTGTACAGATATCAGTGTTATATATAGGGAATAGCACTCAGTGTACAGATATCAGTGATATATACAGTGGCTTGAAAAGGGTCTTCCTCACGACTGAAATGTCCCCCATGTTGTCATGTTACAATGTATTCCCCCCCTGAAACGTCCCCCATGTTGTCATGTTACAATGTATTTATTGGGAATGGATGTGATAGACCAACACAAAGTGGCACATAATTGTGAAGTGGAAGGAAAATGAGAAACGGTTCCAACATTTGTGAGCAATAAATCTGTGAAAAGCGGCATTTGTATTCGGCCCCCCTGCAGTCAGTATTTTGTAGGACCCCCTTTGGCTGCAATGGCATCTGCAAGTCTTTTTGGGGACGTCTCTCCCAGCTTTGCACATCTACAGAGGGACAGTTTCTGCCCATTCTTCTTTGCAGAATCACTCAAGCTCTGTTATTGGATGGAGAGCGTCTGTGAACAGCAATTTTCAGGTCTGGCCACAGATTCTCCATTGAATTTCGGTCTGGACTGTGACTGGGCCATTCTAACACACGAATATGCTTTGTTTAGAAAGTTTGGAGACCGCAAACTTAGATCAAAGGGCCAGTTTACTGTCCTTCAGGTTTTTGGGGGCTGGACTGTGGTCTTTGGGATCAGACATTGTCCTGTCATCAGTGGGAGTAAACCATGCATCTTTAGTATTAGGGGGAGGAATAGCATCCCACCTTTGGTATCAGTGGGAGGAATAGTGCTTTATCATACATGTCAGTGAAAGGAATAATGTCCTATCATTGGTGTCAGTGGCAAGAATAGTGCCACATCATCGGTGTCAGTGGGAGGAATAGTGCCACATCATCGGTGTCAGTGGGAGGAATAGTGCCCTATCATTGGTGTCAGTGGGAGGAATAGTGCCCTATCATTGGTGTCAGTGGGAGGAATAGTGCCCTATCATTGGTGTCAGTGGGAGGAATAGTGCCCTATCATTGGTGTCAGTGGGAGGAATAGTGCCCTATCATTGGTATCAGTGGAAGGAATAGGAAAAATTCATTAAAACCTTCATTTTGAAATGTACCATTGTTGCGCTCTTTTTTAATGTAAGTTTTTTTTTTTTTATTTTGTGTGATAAACATTATTTTGAACATACTGTAGAGAAATTCTGCGACAAACGCATGTATTGTGGACAGTGTAATATGTAGGTGGGGCTTTGTGTGGGTGCAGTTTGAGTGGGCAGGGACACAGGAGGCCCCATGATCTCCTATAGCCCGGGGCCCCATGAGTTGTCAGTCCACCCCTGCTTAGAGCAGCTTCCAGAGGAGATCGTGGCAGACTACTTGCAAGGATCGAGGGAGCCTGCTGAAGAAGGGATTCAGGTGAGTAATACAACCTCTTCTAACCCCCTAACTTAATGAGCACTTAACCTTTGCAGTGTGGGGGTCCCCACGTCAAGGGTTTTTTGTTGCTATGCCTGGAGTTGGGCTTTGAGCTTTCCCTTGTCAACCTATGCTTGCAGGACCATCTTCTGCTTTTTGTCTGTCATGTTTAAGTGATGTGTTTTATAAATATGCCTTTCACACAATCTTAGTCATTCTAATGGGGAAATAAAAGTGCCAAAATAAGCAGAAAAACCTGGCCTATACCTTCAGGTCATATGACAGCACTAAACTCCTATTAAGTCTTCTCTGTAAAAGTATGCAGAGAGTGTTCTGAAGGATACCACAAGCTTCACACTTATGAATGAAGTGTAAAATGCAGACACAATCTGGAGTAATCAATGCGATGTCCTGCAGAAAGCAGTATCAAGTCTCCATTTTAAACAGGACCCCAAGGATTTCTGTGAATCACTGCCTGCACTGAGAAACATTCAGGCTTAAGTTGAGAAATAACATTGCACTTTGTTATTTTGAACATTTATTGGTCTCCAGTAATGTTCCATCACTTCAAGTGACACTGTCGCCTATTTAAAAAATTGCAGGTAAAAAGTACACAAATTAAAGTATTTGAAGTGCTTAATTGCAGTGTTTTCCTTTCAATAAACAAGAGAATTTGTCTAGTAATTTCTTTAGCGCAGCCCCCGTCCTTCTAGCCATCTTTTCTTCTGGGAATGTTAAATTACTCTCTGTGCTGGCCCAGCTACTCTGCCCCTCCCTTCACCTCCCTACATAGCTTTTTATGTCCTCACATGTACTATGAGGCATACTTGAATGACAACTCTGAGTCTGCTGGGACATCAAAGATGGTGACAGCCAGCAGCAGTCTCAATGCTTATTGATCAATGGAGACTGTATACATTGAAAAAACATAAATTTAAAAAAATATTTTTTTCTGAAATGAACCATCTGGCAGCAGGTTCTCTTTTAGACTGCACTGCCTTGACCAAAAGTGACATTAAAGGCAATAAAAAAAAATAACAAACATGTTATACTTACCTGCTCTGTGCAGCAGTTTTGCACAGAGAAGCCCCAATCCTCCTTTTTCTCGGTTTACCGACAGCGCTCATGGCCCCTTCGCTCTGTCGAGTGCCCCTAGAGGAAGCAGCTTGCTATGGGGGCATCCAAGCAGGCTCACTCCCAAGCCACTGCTCTGCATATCCATTCACACACTGAGTGTGCTCGGCCCCACCCCCAATCTCTCCTCATTGGCCGTGATTGACATTAGAAGGAGCCAATGGCACTTGATGCTGTCTCAGCCACTGAGGTGGGAGGGTCCTGGGAGAGCCGCTGCTCTCATTCACATAGCTGGATCAAGAGGGGGCTCAGGTAAGTATTAGGGGAGCTGGGGGGGAAGCTGCACTCAGAAGGCTTTTTTACCTTCATGCATAGAATGTGTGAAGTTAAAAAACATTTAGCCTATACAACCAGTTAATTTTTGCTTCTTGTATGTTATGGAAATCATAGGGAGATAAATGGACAGCATGGCAAAGGAGGTGAGAAATATGGAGTCCAACCAGTGATGCGTTGTGTGAGGTTCCTAAGATCAAATGAACTTCTAAAAAGGTCAGGCGTACCATGTTTCACACATCTCCCTTCACAACAAACCATACAGAAACCACTGTCCTCCAATGGGCCAAAATCTGCCGACAAGGAGACATTATAACCAGACATTATAAGTGTAGGTGAACACAGACTATGTAGTACCCAGATAGGTGTCATGGACAAGGTGCTCAAGTACACATTGCGATACTAATATTCCCATGGCACACATTCCTGGATCAGGCTCAAAAGTAGTGGGTGCTGCAGCAACATCCAGCTGGGTACTGGAACCACGATAGATCAAAGTTCATATTTTCCAGCACACCATGGATCACCAATGTCGTCCGGTCGAATGGCATTGGTGATTCGTGGTGTGCTGGCAAATATGAACTTTCGACTATATATTGCTTCACGTGACCGTATAAGAATGTGTTGGGTTTTTTTTATACAGCTTACACACCAATTAAGAACAAATTCCCAAGAGAAGTAATTAAATGATTTTCTCTGAAATAAATAAATTAGATTTTCTCTGATTCAAGGGGCAGAGACATATACAGTAACTGTGAACACAAAAAATATGTTGAATTGAACACCATTTAGTTGACAGTCCAGTTTTGTAAAATGTTCCACCTCCAAAAAAGAATAGACAAGGGCATGAAAGCTGATTTACTGTGGAGTGCATACACTCACTAGCCACTTTATTAGGTACACCTTGCTAGTGCCATGAAAATATCCCCAACACTATTCTACCACCACCACCAGCCTGAACCATTGATACAAGGCAGATTGGATCCATGCTTTCATGCCAAGTTTTACACCAAATTCTGACCCTACTATCTGAATATCGCAGCAATCAGTCTGCCCATTCTTCTTTAACCTCTGGCATCAACAAGGGATTTGTATTCACACAGCTGCCACTCACTTGATATTTTCTTTTTTTTGATCCATTCTCTGTAAACTCTAGAGATGGTTGTGGGTGAAAATCCCAATAGATCGGCAGTTTTTTTAAATACTCAGACCAACCTGTCTGGCAGCAAAAACCATGCCACATTCAAATTCACTTAAATCCCCTTTCTTTCCCAATCTGATGCTCGGTTAGAACTTCAACAGGTTGTCTTCACCACATCTACTTGTCTAATGCCCCGTACACACGATAAGAAAATCATCCGAAAAATTTCGCGAAACCACTGATCAAATGACTTTCTCTATGTTGATGAGCAGGATGTTTTAGCTGATAACAATATTGTGAATGAAAAAATCTGGTTGAACAATAGTGAAAAATGTTGTTGTTTCGCATACGAATGACTGATTTTCTATGCGGTGGTATGATGGTCGTATGAAAAAAATCTATCAAGCGCTATCACCCATGAGCGGAAACAGAAGATCCAGATGTTTATGTCCAAGGAATCTTCATAAACACGAACGAAAAATCCAAATGTTAAAAGTAGATTGGCCTAATGAGATAATGAAACCAGAATTATGCATATTATATTTTTATGTATTATTATTTATGTATATAGGTAATTTAATAAACTGTATTATACTCATTGCTGTTAATGGTTGTGTATATCGCTCGTTCTGGCTAGAAGGGCGTGGCTACAAGGTCACACGCACACTGCATCACTTCCACCTGTACGGAAGACGTCAACACTACGTGTTGCCCAACAAACGATTTTTTTAGATTGGTTAA